GCCTTTATGGTTTCTTGAACAACCTACGGTAGATTTGAAGATATTAAACAGTTACATAAAAGCAAAAGAGGAGATTAATATATTTGAAGTCGTTTGTAATTATTTGAAGGACAAATATTTGGCGTTTTTATCAATTTACACGGATGGATCAAAGAACCCTCAAAACGGACAAACTAGGGTGGCATATGGAGTACCAGAATTAGGAATTAGTGTGCAGAAAGACTAACTAATAATTTATCTGTATTTACAGCAGAAATTGTGGGTGTATGGCTGGCCCTTCAGTGGATTTAAGAATCCAGACCTAATAAAGTAATAATATGCACAGATTCCAGAGCTGTTCTAAAAAGTTAAAAAAACATTTAAGTCACATTCAAGACAAGACCTAGTATATGAGGTACTTGAATGTTACACACGAATTTGTCATATTGGGATACAGGTAATATTTACATGGGTTCCAGCACATGTAGGTATTGAAGGAAATGAAACGGTGGATAACCTAGCAAAGCAAGCCAGTGGTAGGACAGAAGTAGAAGTATACATAAAAATAAGTAAAGCAGAAGCTAAAACAATGATTTGGAGGAACATTTTGGAAAACTGGCAGAAAAGTTGGGATGAAGAGAAGAAAGGAAGACATTTATATAGTATTCAACAGAAGGTAGGGAAAAGGAGGGCTATTGAGAGAAATCGAAAAGAAGAAATTATTATAACTAGGATGAGAATTGGACATTGTAGATTAAATAAATACTTGCATGTGATAGGTAAACACGTATCTGGAAGATGTGAATATTGTAATTATATTGAATCTGTGGAACATGTGTTGCTTAAGTGTAAAAAATATAACAAAGAAAGAATAATGTTAAAAGAAAAATTAAGGAAAATGGGGTTGCAATGGTGCACACTAAAGGATATATTAGGAAAAAGATCAAGAGAGATTAAGTCACAATTATTATATTTCTTAAAGGTCAATGGTTTAGCAAATAGGATATAGAGTTTATTATGGATATTTAGGGTAAGAAAAGAGTAAAAAGAGGGAAGGGTGGAGAGGTGAATACAAAATGTGAGGATACTGCAATTATTATTGTCCAAATCCAGTCCACACTCCAGTACAGAAGGGGGCTTTAATCCACCATTAAAGTTGGATGCCAACCGCCAATAAACATCAACAAAGAACAAGAAGAAGAGGAAGCAGTAGTCACGCTGTGTCCGAAACCACATACTTCCATACTATATAGTACGCTAAAATCAGTATGCGAGCCGAGTAGTATGTCCGAATTCATAGAATTCGAAAATCAGTAGGCGAGAAGTACACAGATGACCTCCTACTTCTGGCGAGAATCTGAAGTGCGCATCCCATGCACGCTGCACTATCTTATAATGCCCCGTGGGAGAATTCATGAATGGAATTGAGGCGACGCGACTGACGCAGCTAGGTCACATGACCATGACAAAATGGCGGATGTAGTACGTCCGAATTCCATTCATACTTTTCACGTTCATACTGTATAGAACGTACTTTTCTAACCGACGAGTAGTATGTTTAAATTCAAATGCAGTAGTACTACTACTACTGAGTAGTAGGCGGTTTCGGACGCAGCGCCGGTGTATGGTTAGCTGCATTGCAGACACATCTAGCGTGCTCCTTAATCAAACGGTGTTTTCCTCTGTGTTTTAACAGGTAAGATAATATTATTTACTGTAATGGTACACTGAAACATATATTGTTCATATGGAGATGCATTTATGTCCTGAGATATTAGATTGGTTGAGTTCGACCGTGATTTAATGGTGCCAAAATGGCGGAAGTGTTAAAAACTAATAGATTTCAATGTGAGCCGTGAGAAACAAATTTAAACATGCGTTTAACTGATACTATGAGTAAAAATTTTTAAACTTTTTGTGATCTTTATTAATAGGGTTGTGTATAGTGATATGCAGTAAGTTTAAACGTGTGTGGTTACAAAATAACATGATTAGACCTTGTTTAGCATTAACTGTTAGCCATTACATTGAAAGAGACATTCAGAAAATACGATTAAGAACAATTTCAGTTAAGTTTAGCAGTAAAGTGTTTTCATTTGTATTTATTTTGTGAGATTTTACATTAAAACATTAAAATTCAGTTAAAATATAGTTCATTAAGTAAAATTACATTTCATAGAGGTTAAAGTGCATTAATACAGAATTAAACAGTTATGTATGAAAGAGTTATGGAGAAATGTGACAAATAGTTATTTTGTGGTTGTTTATAGGTATCGTTTTATTCATTTGTATACAAGTTAAAGGAGATTGTGACAAACAAATGTGTTTAATTTGTTTATGTCTTATTTTATGCTGTAAGAAAGTGATCACAATACACATTTAGGTCTATTTTGTGATGTTAATTGTGATTTGATTTGGAACCTTTTTGAGTGTGATTTAAATAATAATATGTGAGTGTCATGTATTTACTAAACAACTGCACAATAGGACAGGTTATTATTTATAACTCTTAGGTGCCCATAGCATGAGGAAGCAGTAGTCAGTGTACGGTTAGCTGCATTGCTGACACATCTAGCGTGCTCCGTAATCAAACAGTGTTTTCCTCTGTGTTTTAACAGAAATAAATGTGTTGCTATAAGAACGGACTTCATCTCCTTCTTGAAAGTGTAACAAACTGAAAAAGCCCCCCGAGATGAAGAAGGCATGGAAGTATGGTTTTCATATGTAGGCCAGAAAATAATATGTTTTGTAATATTTTAATCCTTTTAATTTATATCCTATATACAGTTGAAGTCAGAATTATTACCCCCCCCTAAATTGTTAGTGTCCCTGTTTATTTTTTCCCCAATTTCTGTTTAATGGAGGGAAGATTGTTTCAGCACATTTCTAAGCATAATAGTTTTAATAACTAATTTCTAATAACTGATTTATTTTATCTTTGCCATGATGACAGTAAATATTATTTGACTAGATATTCTTCAAGACACTTCTATACAGCTTAAAGTGACATTTAAAGGCTTAACTAGGTTAATTAGGGTAACTAGGCAGGTTAGGGATATTAGGCAAGTTATTGTATAATGATTGTTTGTTCTGTAGACTATCGAAAACAAATTAGCTTAAAGGGGCTAATAATTTTGTCGCAAAAATGTTTTTAAAAAAATTTATAACTGCATGCTTTGATTCAAGCCAAAATAAAACAAATAAGACTTTCTTCAGAAGACAAAATATTATCAGATATACTGTGAAAGTTTCCTTTCTCTGTTAACAATTATTTAGGAAATATTTAAAAACGAAAAACAAAGTCAAAAGGGGGCTAATAATTCTGACTTTAACTGTATATCCTAAATATTTTAATTATTTTTCATAAGTAAAGATATTTGTGTATAGCTGTACACCCTGTGTGTGTTAAGCAATGTGTAAGCGAGGCACAACTAATGCGCTCTGCGCTAAAATTTAGACATCCTCTAAGCTGGTCTATTGAAAAGTCTATTATAGTTCCTCAGAATAGCAATGCATCAGCAATGCACCTCAACAAGCCCCTTTTTTTAAAGCAGAACGCCTATGGCCGCACATATGAGCGCAAATGCATTTGCTATTTAAACAGCGTGCTGCGAAACATCAAAATGACTCTTGCGCCAAGCTGAAACTAGCAAACAACAATTGCGTCGCGCCTTGCGCTGCATTACGCTGAGTGTATTATAGGGCCCATTGACTCTAGATCATTAAAATAGAGCCCATGATCATCTGTATGATGGGATTGTTTACATATGAATGCTTCTTGAATTACACATGAACCTTGTCGATTTTTATGTCTCTCTGCTCTGTGGATTATATTTTTGGTAATTGTCTGCCACCTTGTTACTTGGATTATTTTATGTTTGCTTTAATCTTCACCTTGCCATTTGTATTTTTATTTAAGCAGATGATTCTTTTGTCTGTTTATTTAAAACTCACCATGACAAAAAGCAGATTTTACTACCAGAGTTTATTCGGATGCATTATTTAAAGTAAAAAAAAATATGTGGAAATGTTTTATGGTCAGATTTTTATCCCAATCAGGACTATGGATAAATACATTCAGAACAATTCAAGTTAGAAAAATATATAATACCATTCAAGTCTTTTCTGGACAGTTTAATGGAAAAAAATCCTTAAAAGTATATATATATATATTTTTTTTTTTTTTTTTTAATCCTAATGAACACTGCGGACAGTTTTTGTGTGACCAATAAAGTAAACCACAAAATACCTTTTGGCAGATGATAGTGTTTTCTCACTGAGCAAAGATTCTGTGTTGATTTTCCGAAATTGTTTTGCACGCTCAAGCATTTGCGACACAAGTGATCCTGATTTCATCCTGAAAACACAAACACACCAGAGGAATAAACTGCAGGAGAAACTTCAGTCTCTTATATAGGAGTTTTTCTATTTTTATCTGTGGAATAAAAAAATAACACAGAAACCAGATGAAGAAATATAAAAAAACAAAACAATATTTGAATCTATAGAAATTAATTTATTCTCTGAAAATTTATATAAAGTCTGAAAGACAAATATAAATTATAATTCCCTTCACTGAACTATGAACTGTAAGTTTAACATGCACATTTGTTTTAAATGTTCTAGTTCATTCTATCTTCATTTGATCTCCTCTATAAGCACAAGCTGAAACTGTTCTGCAGTCAGTTTTAACTCTGATGTTGTGCAGGACATTAAACAGCACACATCACACATATTCAGCTCTGATAAATATCCTGATCAAGCTGTCTGTAATCTAGAATGATCTAAACACATTTGCTGAAGCTGTAAACTGAAGCTTTGTCCATCATTTGATCAGGCAATAGCAACACAAATAAGTGCATTGTTGTTGGTCTTTGTTCTTCAGAGAAAGTGTTGAAATAATGGTGTAAAAACAGAGTCAATACCTGTGTTTCTCTGAGAGAGAGTCCTTTACTCGCTCCTCTGCCATACTGCAGCTAAAACACCAATGCAGACATTAGCAGAGCTTTGAGGAAACAATCAGCCGCTGACCATCACCTGGAGATGACAATATACTGAGATGAAGAACAGCACACTTTACATACACACTTCTTCAAATGAATGCAGTTCCCTGATCTGACACCTCATATATTTCACATTTAATATATGTTATATACTTTTTCGAGTGACATACTACACATTTAGTTAGTACTCAAAACGTCTGCTGTCTGCTGACAGTTAAGGGTTAAATGTAGTTTGTTTAGTGAACGTCAGCATTTTAATTATAAAAATAAATGAACACAGCCAAGCCTTAAAAAACACTCTGAACCACTTCTTTAAGGAGCTTGTTGTTTTTCAGCAGCTTTTCTTCCTGTTCAACTGGAAGGTCTGCTTTAACTTTACTTTTGATTTGGTGACTCTGAATGTTTAGAGTTATATTTAATGCTGAATTATTGGACACTATTGAGTCAGTCTGATATAGAAGAGAACAAACCTTTTAAAGGGATTAAAAATAAAGCTTTTAGACACAGAGTTTAAATGAGCGTGTTTGACTCAGTGTTTACTGTGTTTGAGGATTTGATCTTCAGGATCAGACATTTAAATCACACTCACACATATAAAACCCTTCATCATCTCCACAAATCAGCGTAATGTAGAAGTGTTAAACTCACATGCAGAAGTACAGACGCTCTTGTGCAGCAGGAACACAATCTGAGCTCTTTCACTCTTTCACTTAACTAAAACACACCTGTGCGATCTACAGGTATATCCTGCAATATTATTGGCTCCACTGAGTGACACTGACATGAATATTCATGAAATTCTCCTGACTGTGGGTGTGTCCTTGAGACAACACAAACCACTGGAGCTGAAGATATCTGTGCAGATTCTCTAAGCACGAGTGTGTTGAAGGAAGATTTAGAGAAGGTATTTAAGATGAAATCTGAGAGGTCTGAAGAATATTTACAGCAATGTTGAAACTATAAAATGAGATTAGAGATTTCTATATAAATGAGTACACCTCATACAGATTAGGCTTGGGCGGTATTACGGTATTATGGTATACCGCGGGATCTAAAAATAGAAACGGTGTCAGTTTCAATACCGTTATACCGTCAAAAAATATTAAATATCCTTTATTTAATGCCTACAAAAACGTATGTATGGTTGTCATCACGGGACAGTGTGGAGGAGAGAGGGAGAAAGAGGGAGAGGGAGGGGGAGAGGGTGAGAGGGAGGGGGAGAGAGGGAGAAGTGACGTGACGAGTGGCGCTCCAAAGTGTCCTGCAGTTTGGGAGTTTCGACTGAACAGAAGGGAGACGTGGTTAATATGAACGAGAGGTCTGCATTAGAGCTGAAGATCTTTGCCCGAACCCGGCGAGACCCGAAAAAATCCAAATCCCTGCATTAAAATCCATCCCTGCAAAAGTGAAGCAAATGATGACGAAGTAGTAAAAAAAAACGAATTATTACGGCGGTCAAGCCAGTCACTAGCTCAGAAGGAGCGGTTATTCCAGCCGCAGGTAGGCTATTTCGCGGTCGCTCATACACTGCGTATTACGGTAGAGCCCTAAACCGCAAGCTGACAGATAACATGACGAGGCCACTCGCTACCCTGAAACTGCTGTCATGGCAAATTAAATGCATGTTCCTGACTGGTAGAAGATGAACAAACAATCCTTCCCCAAAACTTGCTAAATCAGCCGGATCAGAACTCTGCATCTCGACCTGTAGCCGCATGAAAGGGTGTTCAGCTGCTGGACGCACCATGAGTGAGAGACTGCGCTAAAGCCAGTGGATTTAATAATGTTCCTCCACAAACACACGTAGCCTAATCTTGGTGAGTACAGTGTTTAAAATTATAAATAAATATTAATTAAACCATATAATCATAATGTAGACAGAGTATACAGACTAATGGTGGCATTATTCTTTTAATATTCAGCTTCACCGCCGCCCTAATGCCAGATTGTGAAGAGAAATGGAGAAACAATTCTTTCACAGCCTTTAACTAAATTTCGTTATTGCCAAAATACCCGTCATCATTTAGAGTTTATTTTAATTTGATTTGTTAAGCAAGATTTCTTTTTTAATTGTGTTAGCCAATTTAAAGGCAAATTGTTAGAGTGCTGAGATGTTACGATGTTTCAGAGGACTTATTTTATTTGTTCCAACTTTCAAGTGGCCTATAGTCTACGCTTGTTACGAATAAATGATGTTAAAACATATAAATGACTCATTCTTGAAAAAAATGCATTAGAGCTGTGTGCATGAGCACACTTGAATAATGTCGGGCTGTAAACGGGTTCGACTTAATAAAGCTGTCAATCGCTGCTGTTCCGCGGGAGCCGGCCAGATTTCTTACGGTGTGGGAGTAAATTTCTGAATAAATCGCGGGAGAGATGTGTGTGTGTGTGTGTGTAAGAGAGAGATAGAGAGAGAGAGAGGCCGTCTCTCTCTCTCTCTCTCTCTCTCTCTCTCTCTCTCTCCCTCTCCTCTCTGACTGCGAGCCTAAGATTGCATAGAAGGTATTCAGTTTCTGAATGGTTTAGGCTCAAGCCAACAGTTTGGTGACGCTGTCTGAGCCTTACGTCATAATTTTTTTTATTATACGCCGGTAATACCGGATACCGGGGTAAAATATGGAGGCGGTTTGACGGTCTCAAAATTTGGATACCGCCCAAGCCTAATACAGATCTCTCTTTTATATTATTATTTTCTATAGGGTGCTGTTCAATAATATTTGATAAGTGTCTATATACAATATGTTGAAAAGTTTTAGGTAATTAATAGTAGTTTAGGACTGATTGACAGCTATACCTTTTACCAGCATAAGCACACTTTACAGCCAGCAACATTTTGCACATTGCAGAGCAGTTTTCAAACACTCCAGTGGTAAACCCCCCAGAAATTCAAACTCCAGGCAAGAATGCATACTGTCATTACTGTGACAATAAACACCACTAGCTTAATCAATGCCCAAGCTTTGTACAGCCAACCAGTGAAATCAAAACTAACTGGATTAAGATGAATAAGAGATGCTGGAGGTGCGGACGAAAACATCAAGCTGCTCAATGCAGGTTAAAAGGCATCTGTAAAATTTGTAAAGGCAAACACCTAACTGTCCTACATGACCTCAACACAAAATTACCTAAGATGAAGCAAGTTGAAATGCCTCAAGAAAGTCAGATGCTGTAGCTTGATCGGCCAGCAAATGGCAGCCAGGTCATGTTGAAAATCAGTATCAAGTGTTGTTACACAATGGCAAGCAATCACTAATATCTTATGCAATTCTAGATGATGGGTCTGAACATACTATCTTGCTTCATGAAGCAGCAGAACAACTTAAGCCTAATGGACAGGAAGAAAAGCTTTCTTTAAGGACAGTTTGACATGACACCCAAGTTATTCATGGTTCAAGAGTATCTTTTACTCTTTACCCGGCATATCAGCCAGACAAAAGATTCAAAATAAAGAGTGCTTTCACTGCAGCAAATTTGGGTCTGGCTGAACATTCACATCCAGTTACCCTATTGCAAAAGAAATATGAACATCTCAAAGGACTGCCTCTTTATGCATTTTCGCAGGCCCAGCCAGTGCTGCTAATAGGTTCTGATCATTACAGCTTTATCACCCCCATGGAGCCAGTACAACAAGAGCCCAAAACTGGCAAAGGTGAACAACCAAGAAGTCGAAAGGCTGGAGCTATCTGGTTATGAAATCAAATTATCACCAAAAGCAATCGAGCAAACGCATGAATCCTGGTACATGCCACACCATATGGTGCATCATAATGTCAGGCACAGCGTAGTGTACAATTGTTCCTTACCGTATCAAAGCCATAACCTTATTGAGTATCTGCTGCCTGGGCCCACTCTTCCTTCCACCTTGTTTGGAGTGTTGCTTCCCTTCAGAGAGCGTTTTGTTGCCATCATGAGTGACATTAAAGGCATGTTCCATCAGATGCGGCTGCTCCAAGAAGATAGACAGCTTCGTAGATTTCTGTGGAGAGACATGCATTGTGATAATCCAGTCAGCATCTATGACTGGAAAGTTCTGCCATTTGGGACAACATGTAGTCCATGCTGTGCAACATTTGCTGTCCTCAAACATGTCCAGAAGAATACTGTTCCAGGTGAAGACACCCGTGCAGCTGTGGAGAAACATTTCCATGTGGACAATTACCTGCAGAGTGTAACATCAACTGACAAAGTATCCAAACTGGTGAACAAGCTGCAGACTCTACTTATGTCTGGGGGGTTCGAATTAAGGCAGTGGGCTTCTAACATCCCTTCTGCTGTTGCTCACCTTCCTACAGAAGCTAGATCTGAGAAAAATGAGCTTAAGCTTTCTGAAAAGCAGCGAGATGTTTCTGAGTCCACCATGGGTCTACGTTAGCTCTGCCAAACAAACACACTTGGTTATAAAACTCATCCAAGGGAGCCACAAATACCCACAATGAGGTACGCCTACCAAGTCTTAGCCAGTTAGTATGACCCACCAGAGTACATAATCCCCTACACAACACTAGCTAAAGCATTGGTTCAAAGGTTATGGGATAAAAAAAAATATATATATATATATATATAAACATGGCTGGGATGACCCATTGTTGCTAACAGAACTTGTGCAAGCCTGGCAAGAATTGGAGAAGGAACTGCAGCACCTGAACAACATTGCCATACCACGATGCTACACCAGCACACAGCTAGATTCTGAGTCCTGCTTAGGAAACATCCACATATTCTGTGATGCATCAAATCATGCATATGGTTCAGCAGCATATTTGAGAACACAGAGTCTTCAAGGCCAAGCTGAGGTTGCATTTGTCACAGCCAGATCACGAGTGTTCCCAAAACAACAGCTATCTGTACCCAGGCTGGAACTTTGTGCAGCACTTAGTGGAGCTTGTAGCGTACAGTCCACAGATAAAATTTCTTATTGATTTTATCACGGTCTGGCTTTGGTCGACAGAAGGGTTTTACGACTCCTGGCTCCAAAAAGTCTGGATTTTCGTGACAGCTTAAATAATCTAGGGAGCCTGGAGAGATAGGTCTGTCACTTCAAAGACATTCCTGCCCAAATACACACACACACACACACACACAACCACGAGGCTGTTCCGACAGAAAGAAAATGAACTCATCAAATCCTGAACCAGCACAAAACTAAGGTGTTATGTTTTGTAAACTTTGTATCTCATTTCTGACTTTTCTTACCTGTGTAACCTCTCTTATAACCTGTATGTATGTTCCCTTTAGGCCTTTGTAAAGCATAAATATTGGAAGGATATGAAAAATTATGTTAATGTACTTTTAAACCCCCCATGTTTGGTACCGATGGGTTTCTGCTGACATTTTACAACACATGATGCATAGAGCGAGACCATAACTCGCATTGCTTTATTCTTTAAAGCCCTGTATTAAATGCCTGTCCGCATGCTTTAGGCGGACACTCAAATTTGCATACGAGCAGCCTCGAGACAAAGGAAGGGTTCCCGCTTGAACTTTGTACTGAAACCATTGGTCAGAATGCTGAACGGGTTGTCACGTGACCCGCAGGTATAACCAGACCTTTTGCCAAACATCTGGGCAGAAAGAGAACGTCCTAAAAGGAACATCATTGACGGTGGCCCTCGTGCCACACGGCTCTTCACAGCCACATGGACTTTCCCGCCACGTTTTCTTTATTTTCCGGCAAAAGTAAACTCAGTTTAAAGTTTGCGATCGTGTTCGTCCGAACTGCATTACAAACTCCACGCATCAAGAAGGACATCAAAAGGAGTTTCATCAGGAAAAGACCCGCATAAAGAGAGAGACCTCCAGACATGAAAGACCAGGTGATTTTAGTTATGCGATTAAGCTGTGCCCCTTTTATCAAAAAGGTGTTTTTTATAATCCTGGTGATCCTTAATGGTGTGTGGAACTGAAAGTTTTGTCACTCTTTTATCTGAAATCTATATTTCCGCGCTTTGCTATCTCTCTCTGTTCGTACATGTTTTATAGTCCCGTATAGACCCGATATCTCCACGTGGTTTACCTTTGTTCTGTGTTTAATGTATGTTTGTGCGTTTGTTCGTTATGTCTGACTAGTCAATAAATTCCATTATAATCAGATGAATTGTATTGTTTGCCTCACTAGAAAATGTCACTGAAATACAGATTCCCCTGCCTAGCTATTATAAGTTGTTTAATACTTTTGAATGATTAATCTACTTCACAAGAAGTAGCAATTAAATTCCCTTTTTCTAAATGAATAGATTACCGTGTCCGCTCGGAAGAGCGGCGGCTCTGCTTGTGTTTGTTTGGTCAAATTAACAATAAATTGATCCGGAATATTAGTGATTAATAATAATTCGTTATTGTTGATAATTAATATTCATAATCTGGGAATCCGCTCGGTCGTGCGAGCATGATCATATACAATCATATGTTTGTTTGACCAAATTGACTGAAGCTTAAGCCGGAATATTAATAATTAAGAATAAACCGTTATTGTTGATTATTAATATTCATAAAATGAGCTAATTTCATGCTACAAGCTCAACTACCAAAAGTTCTAGAAAAGAAACTGACACTGAACATTCAGTAGGTTCATTTATGGAGTGACTCAAAGACAGTCTTGTCCTGGATCCAGTCCGATTCATGCAGATATAAAGTGTTTGTGGGTACACGAATCACAGAGATTCAGGAGCTGACTGAAAACAATCCAGCAACCACTGCAAAACCCTTCAGCAGCTCTCAGTTCCCAGTCAGTTGCAGCAGGGACCTCAATTTCTGTGGCAAGACTCAAGTGCCTATCCTCAAGATACAAGAAAATCAGTGCTAGACATTACTGATGAGGAGAGAAGGGTAACCTTTTGTAGCCTGACCACGATAGACTACTCTGATATAATGCAAGAATTCTCGCAGTACCACAGCTTTGATCAGTTGGTGTAACATGAATCACAAGAGCAGTTAATGCAAACTAATCAAACCTGAGAAGTATGTGCCCAAGACCATGCAGCTGCTGAGAACTGAGTCCAGAAGCAGGCACAAGCCATGTGCTTTCCAGCTGAACTTAAAGGGTAACAAACCCTTACTTTCCAACAGTAGATTATTAGCCCTAGCTCCTGAGCTTGACCACTCTACTGGACTTATAAGAGTCGTTGGTCGTCTGAGACATAGTGAACTGCTTAAGCCAGATACCGTCCACCCAATTGTTCTTGAACCCAAACGCCCACTCAGTCAACTCCTGATTCAGCATTATGATGAAAAACTCCATCATCCTGGCCCAGAATGAGTGTTTGCGGAGTTACGCAGAAAATACTGCATTGATCAGAAAGAAATCAACTGTTGAATCGACTGAAGAAAGATGGATCCTGTTAAACTGGAGAGTGAAGATGTGAAGATTGAAGAAGAGGCGCTTACAGTGAGAAAAGAAGAGTCTGAGGAACAGACAGGTCGGTTTATTAAAGCTCAGTTCATCTGTGTGTTCACTAAACATCTTCAGCCAAAAGTAGCTAAAACTGGTTTTATATTCGCATGTTCAGACTTTCTCCTTAACAATATCACTTCAGAAAATGATTCTGTGCTAATTATGACTAGTGAAATCATATACTGAGTTAAAGTTGTTTTTATATTCGTTTGCTTTGGTACTGTGACAGCTTATACCAGGCTACTTTAACTACTGGCTCTGAAATGGCACATAAGAATGACTTCAACATAACATTAGCACTGTTTAATTTAGTGTGAATATTGTACTTTGATAGTCATTATATTATAATTTAATAATATGATAATATGATTTTACTATTTGGAATTAGCACAGAGTAATTTTGTGAAGTGATATTATTAAGGATAAAGTCTGAATGTGCGAATATAAAACCAATTTTATCTCAATAAATCACATTATCAGCCAACGACTCTCAAAGTACAATAGTCACAGTCAAATAAACAGTGCTAATGTTGTGTTGTAAGTCATTCTTACGCACCATTTCAGAGCCAGTATTTAAAGTAGCCAAAATGAACAAATGTACGAATATAAAGCAACTTTACCTCAGTTTATAACTCAATTCATAACTATTGTGCAGTTGTTGTTGTTTTAATATTTAAGTTATAATGAGTTACTCTGACAGTAAAGGGTTAAATGCAGTGTTGTTTAAGGAATGTCAGCTTGTTGTTTTTCAGCAGCTTTTCTTCCCGTTCAGCTGGAAGGTCTGCTTCTGACACCTCATACTTTTCACATTTAATATATGATATATACTTTTTCGAGTGACATTATATATATTAACTAAGATACTGAGTTAGTACTAAAAACGTCTGCTGACAGTTAAGGGTTAAATGTCATTTGTTTATTGAATGTCAGCATTTTAATAATAAAAATAAATGAACACAACCAAGCCTTAAAAACACTGAAGCACCTCTTGAAGAAACCTGTTTTTCAGCAGCTTTTCTTCCTGTTCAACTGAAGGTCTGCTTTAACTTTACTTTTGATTTGGTGACTCTGAATGTTTAGAGTTATATTTAATGCTGAATCTTTGGACACTATTAAGTCAGTCTGACATAGAAGAGAACAAACCCTTTAAAGGGATTAAAAATAAAGCTTTTAGACACAGTGTTTAAATGACCGTGTTTGACTCAGTGTTTAATCTGTGTTTGAGGATTTGATCTTCAGGATCAGACATTTAAATCACACTCACACATATAAAACCCCTTCATCATCTCCACAAATCAGCGTAATGTAGAAGTGTTAAACTCACATGCAGAAGTACAGACGCTCTTGTGCAGCAGGAACACAATCTGAGCTTTTTGACTTTCACTTCACTAAAACACACCTGTGTGATCTACAGGTATATCCTGAAATATTATTGGCTCCACAGAGTGACACTGACATGAATATTCATGATATTCTCCTGACTGTGGGCGTGTCCTTGGGACAACACACAAACCACTGGAGCTGAAGATATCTGTGCAGATTCTCTGAGCACAAGTGTGTTGAAGGAGTATTGAAAAAGTATAATATAGTATACATAGTGTCATATAATACAAACATATATAAGAATAGAGAAAAATGTATTTGAAATAAAATCCAAGAGGTCTCTGAAAAAAATTCAAAGCAGTATTGGACTAATAAAATAAGATTACAGATGAAAATATAAATGAGTACACCCCTTACAGATCTCTCTGATGAATTATTATTTTCTATCAGATGCTGTTCAATAATATAAGTGTGTTTATACATTAGATTAGTCAGGATTAAAGCCAAAACAGTTACATTTAGTTCAAATGTTCATTCATTCATTTTCTTTTCGGCTTAGTCCCTGATTTTTATCAAGGGACACCACCGCGGAATGAACCGCTTACTTATCCAGCATATGTTTTATACAGCCAGTACTGGAAAACACCTATACACACTCACACACACACACACACTCATACACTACGGCCAATTTAGTTAATCAGTTTCCTTATAGAGCATGTGTTTGTACTGTGGGGGAATCGGAGCACACGGAGGAAACCCACGCCAACACAGTGTAACATAAAATTAGCTCATTTTATGAATATTAATAATCAACAATAACGGTTTATTCTTAATTATTAATATTCCGGCTTAAGCTTCAGTCAATTTGGTCAAACAAGCATATGATTGTATATGATCATGCTCGCGCGACCGAGCGGATTCCCAGATTATGAATATTAATTATCAACAATAACAAATTATTATTAATCATTAATATTCCGGATCAATTTGCTAATTTGACCAAACAAACACAAGCAGAGCCGCCGCTCTTCCGAGCGGACACGGTAATCTATTCATTTAGAAAAAGGGAATTTAATTGCTACTTCTTGTGAAGTAGATTAATCATTCAAAAGTATTAAACAACTTATAATAGCTAGGCAGGGGAATCTGTATTTCAGTGACATTTTCTAGTGAGGCAAACAATACAATTCATCTGATTATAATGGAATTTATTGACTAGTCAGACGTAACAAACAAACAAACGCACAAACATACATTAAACACAGAACAAAGGTAAACCACGTGAAGATAGGCAAGGCAAGGCAAGGCAAGGCAAGTTTATTTATATAGCACATTTCATACACAATGGCAATTCAAAGTGCTTTACATAAACAAGAATAAAAGAAACAAGTAAAATAAAAATAAAAACAAATAATAAAAATGCGTTCAAAACAAAACAAAACATAAAAACAGGTAAAATGTGATATGAAAGAATGAAGAAGAAGAGAAAAACATGATAGTGCAATCTGTCGGACGCAGCACAGTGCTCATTCAGTAAAGGCACAGCTAAACAGATGTGTTTTCAGTCTTGATTTGAATGTGCCTAATGTTGGAGCACATCTGATCATTTCTGGAAGCTGATTCCAGCAGCGAGGGGCGTAGTGGCTGAAAGCCGATTCACCCTGCTTTGACTGAACTCTTGGAACTTCTAGTTTATATGATCCTAATGATCTGAGTGATCTGTTAGGTTTGTATTGAGTGAGCATATCTGTGATGTATTTAGGTCCTAGGCCATTTAGTGATTTATAGACCAGTAATAATACTTTAAAATCTATTCTGAATGTAACTGGCAGCCAGTGTAAAGACCTGAGGACAGGTGTGATGTGCTCTGATTTTCTGGTTCTGGTTAGAATTCTGGCTGCAGCGTTCTGGATGAGCTGTAACTGTCTGACTGTCTTTTTAGGAAGACCAGTGAGGAGTCCATTACAGTAATCCACCCTGCTGCTGATAAAAGCATGAACAAGTTTTTCTAAATCTTCACTAGAAACAAAGCATCTGATTCTTGCTATGTTTTTGAGATGATAGTATGCTGATTTACTGACTGCTTTGACATGACTGTTAAAACTCAGATCTGACTCAAGAGTCACACCAAGATTCTTGACCTTATTTTTTGTCGTTTGACCTTTAGTGCCAAGGTACGCATTTACCTTGAGAACCTCATCCCTGTTCCCAAACGCAATGACTTCAGTTTTCTCTTTGTTTAACTGAAGAAAGTTTTGGCACATCCAATTGCTCATTTCATCAATGCATTGGCAGAGGGTGTCAATGGGGCTGTAGTCATTAGGCAGTAAGGCTAGGTAGATCTGAGTGTCATCAGCATAGCTGTGGTAGGAGATTTGGTTCTTTCTCATTATTTGGCTTAGAGGAAGCATGTAAAGGTTGAACAGGAGAGGTGCCAGAATCGAGCCTTGTGGGACTCCACATGTCATGGGTGTCCACCTCGACCTATGGTCACCTATGCTGACATGGTAACCTCTCCCTTCAAGGTAAGATCTAAACCATTTGAGGACCGTGCCAGACAGCCCAACCCAGTTTTCCAGCCTATCCAGAAGTATGCTGTGATCGACAGTGTCAAATGCAGCACTGAGATCCAACAATACCAGCACTGTTATTTTACCTGAATCTGTATTTAGGTGTATTTCATTGATTATCTTTATAAGAGCGCTCTCTGTACTGTGATGTGCTCTGAACTCCGATTGAAAATTGTCTAAACACCCCCTGAAGTTTAAGAACTTGTTAAGCTGGTTAAAAACAACTTTTTCAATGATTTTGCCAATGAAAGGGAGATTTGAGATTGGCCTGTAATTGCTCAATAGGGTGTTATCCAGGTTGCTCTTCTTCAAGAGGGGTTTAACAACTGCAGTTTTAAGTGAGTTTGGAAAAATCCCTGAGAGAAGTGAAGCATTTACCACTTTTAGAAGATCCATTTCTAAACAGGTAAACACCGTTAATTGCCATGAAATCAGACATAATTTCTGATTTCTTAAGTTGTGGTTGAGCTTGTTTGATATCGACACAACTTGACTGATTGGATGAGCTGATTGCCTTTCTGATATTATTGATCTTATCAGTGAAGAAATGAGCAAACTCATTACATTTGCTTTCAGAGAGGAGCTCACTGGGAATCTGACTGGGGGGGTTTGTGAGTCTCTATCGTTGCAAAGAGTGTACGAGCATTATTTAAGTTGCTGTTTATAAGGCTTGAAAAGAAAGTCTGTCTAGCAGTGTTTAGTTCCATATTAAAGGCATGAAGACTGTCTTTATAGATATTATAATGGACTACTAGTTTCGTCTTTCTCCACATACGCTCAGCTTTTCTCCACTGTCTTTTCATCATTTGTACTCTCGGTGACCTTGTCCAAGATCCCTTTTGCCTGGCAGTCATCTTCTTGACTTTAACAGGAGCATTGTCATTTATGACATTCTCAATTTTAGAATTGAACAAAATCAAGGAGAGAATCAACAGAATCTGCAGATATGCTTGGTGCTAGTGATATGGCCTTCATAAACTGCTCACTGGTGTTCTCATTTATTCATCTCTTTCTGAGAGAGACAGATCTGTCTTTAATAGCTGGAGTGATCAATATATCAAAAAAGATACAGAAATGATCAGATAGTGCCACATCCTTAACAACAGTCGATGAAATGTGTAAACCCTTAGTTATAAGTAGATCAAGAGTGTGTCCACGATTGTGTGTGGGTCCTTGAACATGCTGAGTCAGATCAAAAGTGTTAAAAACAGTCATCAGTTCTTTTACAGCATTGATTTCTGGATTATCAATGTGAATATTAAAATCCCCAGCAATACTAAAATAATCATATTCAGATGTTACTATTGATAACAGCTCTGTAAAATCCTCAATAAAAGCTGGAGAATATTTTGGAGGTCTGTAGATAATGATCAGTAAGATGCGTGGAGCACCTTTCAGTGCTATACTCAGATATTCAAAAGACAAATAGTCACCAAATGACACTTGTTTACATTCATACACATCTTTAAACAGGGCAGCGATGCCTCCACCTCTCCTATTAGCTCTGCAAACACTCAAAAAGTCAAAGTTTAAAGGAGCTGCTTCATTCAGAACTGCTGCGCTACAACTGTCATCTAGCCAAGTTTCATTTAAAAGCATAAAATCAAGGCAGTTTGTGTTGATAAAACCATTGACTAAAAGAGACTTATTGTTGAGCGATCTGATGTTTAAAAGCGCTAACTTAACAGTTTTAGCCGTTTTCACTACAGAAGTCTCAGATCTACATTTAATAGACACCAGATTTGAATCATTTGCTTTACGACCAAAAGAAGTCTTTGGTTTTCTGTCACTTAACACAACACATATCTGCTTAGAGAAAGCTACAGACACACTGGGTTCCTGCTTGTTCTCAAAACATTTGATAAAGACACTGTTATCTAAGCAGGCCCCCGACACACATCAGTGAGAGCTCTTGTGTTCACCAGCTGAAGATGGGGCGTTGTTGTTTGGGCCCTGGCGGTGTGGCAAAAATCGGAGGGCTCTTCCAGGTGTTTGTGGAGCAGGCCGCTTTTTGGTTGATAACTGGGGGCTTGCTGCAATGGAGTCTGAAAGTTTAATTCCAGCATACACCAGTTCCTCCATCTTTTTTGAAAATCCCAAGAGTGGTGAACATTGTGACAATGAGAAAGTGTCCGGTGACAGAGGCTGTGCATCTGGAGATTCTGTCTGCAGAAATATGTTTTCCTGAGGATCATTTTTGAGTGACGAGACTTGATGCTGTTCTGATGCGTCACAGTCTGCCTGTGTTGAGCAGAGGGCAACTGATCGTGTCTCTATCAACATCGGGTGTTTTGGCTGCATGGCATTATCACTGTCCTTGGGTGATTCGTCAGCCACAAGGCCACTCAGGAGCTGATTTGAAGTCCTGTGGTCATCCGGACATTTGCTAGGTGTGTGTGTGCAATTTAGTTCAGTGGCATACACAGCTGATGGATGATGGAGGGAAAAAAATATTGTCC